TGCACTCCAGCGCATTAACCCACAGCGCCACACCAGGACTCTTTTCCTTGGTTAGCCCTGATATAAAAATAATTATCTCCCTGGGCCCGAGGGGTAAAAAGTCAGGATCCAGCCTCCCAGTACTAGACACAGCTGTTTCGCCATTTGTAGGGAAATTTTCCCTTGTTAGTAAAACATCTCTTTTGTTCTCTTTCCTGTAATAAACTAATGTCTCTCGGAATGAGTCCTGTTGGGTTTTTTGGTTTGTTTTTCAGCCTCTCCACACCTTGATGTGGAGCTGTGGGTTAATTCGCCAGACTACAAAGCCATTTGAACTGCAAGGTCGGCCGTTCAAGCTCACCAGCTTATCCTTGGAAACCCTATACAGGGTCGCTATGGGTCGGAACCGGCTCGACGGCAGTTAACAACGACATCTGTATCATTAAAGATTCACAGACTCTGAAACCTTATGGAGCTATGAGTCCGAATCTACTGGTAGGAAAACTCCCTCCCTTCTTCTAACCTCCCTTCTTTCTGGGCTGCCCCTGCCCCAGAATCAATCTGCCTTTCCATTGATGCTAGGAACAGGAAGCCTGCAAAAAATCTTTTGTTCCTGCAGAGCCTCTTCAGGAATGTAAATAAAACTCATCAAACACATTTAACTTTTTCTTCCACAAATTTCACAGACTGTCCCACGTATCTTCCCACCAGCGTGACGAAGTCCAATTCTGCATAGAATACAGAAAGCAGGCCAGGGGCGGGCGCGGTCAGGAATCACACACCACCAGAGCTGAGTGAGAAATGAAACTGAAATCCTTATATGTTTCAGCAGTTTTAGATTCCTGGTTGAAGAAACCGGGGCCACAGACGTGAAGCAGTTTCAGATTTTATTAAGTCAGCTGGATGGAGGGAAACACTGGCCTATATGGGATCAGAGTTGGGGAGGAGCCAGGCTGCATACCTGTTTTAGGGCAGGGGGAAAACCAGGGGGAATGGTCCCATTTGGTGACCTGATTAGCATTTTTGCTTGCCTCCTGGGCAAGAGATGGTTGTTGTTGTTATGTGCCGTGGAGTTGGTTCCGACTCATAGCGACCCTACACAGGGTTTCCGAGGCTGTAAATCTTTACGGGAGCAGACCGCCTCATCTTTCTCCCGCGGAACCACTGGTAGTTTCGAACTGCTGACCTTGCGGCTCGCAGCCCGATTCATAACCACCACGCTACCAGAGCTCCTTTTAAGGAAACTATTAGTGGCGAAAAAATGAGCAAGAAAGGGTGTTTGAAGAGAAGGGACCCTAATGAAGAGCCAGTTTCAACCTAGAACTCCCTAACATTTGTCTTTCTTCACATTCAAGAAGCACATAACACTTCATGCAAACACCATATATAAGAGACTGGAGGGAACCCATTGACTCTCTGGGTCTCAGGATGGTCAGTTTAGAGATTGAGAGAGAAGGTAGTTGGACAGATATGAGATCTGTGGAGGAATGAGAAGGAAGAAGCATTGCTACCAGACAAAAGTAGGACCGCCAGCTGCTGCAGCCAGTAACAGAGACTGGGTCAGAATCCTCCTGTGTTTTATCTACAGATCTGAAAGGCAATGAGAAGCCTTCTTCAAAGACTGCCCTGACTTCTCTCATATATTTGGCAGTTTTTATGCCCTCCTGAATATTAACCCACTTGTTATTATAAACACATTATGATTATTAACACATTCCTTTCTTAGAGCTCAATGCCCCTGCCATCCAGGAGTGCAAGCTGCATCCTACCAGCTCAAGGCCTTTTACACTCTGGGAGTAACTGCCTTTTCCCCCTTCAAACAAAGACACCTGGACTCCAGACCCTTTCTTTCTTCAGAGTTTTAATTATCAAGACACCACTAAGTCCTTCAGCTACATGTCTCAGGAGCACATACACAAGGGAAAAAGTAGTGATGGGAACAATGATTTGTTGTTGTTAAGTTCCATGGAATTGGTTCTGACCCAAAGCAACCCTGTATAGGATTTCCAAGGAGCAGCTGGTGAGCTTGAACCGCCAACCTTGAGAAACAGTGATAAAAAGGTTTAAAATATTTATAATTAGAAACCTATTAAAATCATTCTCTTAGCACTGGATAAATAAGAAGTCTTTGGATTGTTGTTGTTGTTGTTGTTAAGTGCCTTCGAGTCAGTACTGACTCATAGTGACCCTGTATAGGGTTTCTGAGGAGTAGCTGGTGAGCTTGAACTGCCGACCAAAGTAACCCTCCAGTCCAGCACATTAACCCACAGTGCCACACTTAAGTGCCGTAAAATTGGTTCCGACAAAGCGATCCCATGCACAACAGAATGAAGCATTGCCTGGTCCTGCCCCATCCTTACAACTGTTATGTTTGAGCCCATTGTTGCTGCCACTGTTTGAATCCATCTTGTTGAGGGGCATTGACTCTTCACTTTACCAAGCATGATGTCTGTTTGAATCATCCTCACATGTTCAAAGACTAGTTATCTGTCAGGGAAATGGGATGGGTAGGCATGTGTGATTCCCATGTACTGCCCTAATGACATGGATGGTGGCTCACAGACTTTACCAGGTACCTTCAGATCAGTGGCAAACTCCTCTGTTTACAGTGGGGATTCGATATTTTTCTTTGGGAATATGAAAAAGGACAAATAAGCAACTCTCCTATTTCAAACACATAACTATATATCCCAAGAATGAGTAAAAGTTCTTAAGGAAGAAAGAGAGACTACAAGGAAGAGATTATCGGAAGCGTACAGGTGAGCTCAGGTGCAGGAGCTAACCCCCAGGCTACAAGACTCTAGAGAGTGGTAGTGGTTATGTTCCGTGGAGTCCGTTCCGACTCACAGTGACCCTGTACAGGGTTTCCAAGGCTGTAAATCTTTACAGGAGCAGAAAGCCTCATCTTTCTCCCTTGGAGCAGCTGGTAGTTTTGAACTGCTGACCATGAGATTAGCAGCCCGACTTATAACCACTATTATGCCAGAGCTCCTTACTACAGAGAATAGGTTATGATATAATAAAGCTAAAGAGTTTGATAGACAAAGGGTCACAGGGGCAAGACAATTCTAAATATTGGAATAGGGGAAAGTTTCCTGATAAAAGCAACATTTAAAAATTTGTAGATGAGGAACCCATGATTTGTGACATTGAAAAATTAGACAGTACTAACCTCAATGTCTAGATAAATGCCATGTTTTTCTTCAGCTAATACAACTTCTTGAATTATTTGTTCAGCATGCCAATTGAAAAAGTATAGTGAAAGGACACTTCACCTAATTTAAAATCATTTAGTATCACATTGTTCTGTTCAAACGACTGCCTCTTAGTTCATGTACAGTTTCTTCATGAGTACAATTAAGTATTCTGGAATACCTATTTTCACAATGTTATCCATAGTTTGTCATGATAGGTGACAATTTATACCCCCTTAATTTTAGCACACACATAAGTGAAGCTGACTCTAAATTTTACATTTTAATCATATTGTCTCCTAAATCCAAAAAAAAAAAAAAAAATTATATATATATATATGAGTGGCCAACAAATAAAAAAAAAGATGCTCAAATTCATTAGTCATTTATAATGAATACAGAGAGAGATCATACCATCACCATTATGATGACTAACTCTGCCAAATTGCTTTTGACTCTAAGCAACCCCATATGATTTCTCAGGTTCAAACTGACAACCTTTCAGTTATAAGCCAAGTACTTAACCAATGTGTCACAAAATCTCCTTTCTATGATCAAACAATAGAAAACAACAGATGTTGTCAAGGATGTGGAGATATTGGAGCTGCTATCAATTGCTGGTGGAACTGAAAACTGGCTCAGCCACTGTGGCAAACAGTTCAGAGGTTTCTTAAAATTTAAACATAGAATTACCACATGATGCTCTAATAAGACATGAAAACAGGAATATAAATGAGTACTTATAAATCAGGGTTCATCCCAAAAGGTGGAAACAACCTACATGTCCACCAACAGATAAATGTATATCATATTTTATACATGTAACCTTCCCACTTAACTAATGTGCACACACATATGATGTGCATAGCATGCAAAGGAAACTAACAAGCAAGGGGATTGCACAGTTTTCCAAACCCATATAATGTGCACATTATTTACATGAAAATATGGTGATCAAAATGTGGCACATACATATAGGAAAATTACTCAACCATAAAGAGAAATGAACACCTAATGATATTACAGCATGAATACATTTTGAAAGTACTATGATGAATCAATTAAGTCAAATATAGTATATTCCTCCTTGTATAAAATATCTAGAATTGGCAAATATATAGAAAACAAACTTTATGAGTAGTTGCCAGACCAGGAGATGGGGATTGGGGTGCGGGAAGTGAATCACTGCTTAGGGGATGCTGAGGTTCTAATACTGGTGATGAAAGGTTTTGGAAATGGTGGTAACAGTTGTACAACATGATGAACATAATTAATGTCACTGGATTGTGCATGTAAAGAATGTTAAAAGGGTAAATGTTTTGTTACATGCATACTTAACACAGTTAAAATGAAATGAGCACATATCCTAAATCTGAAAATGACTGGCTTTGCTTTTGGTTAAATGAGTAAAGAGCTGATTGTCAAATGCCCTGTATTTAGATCACAGACCTATGGGATATCACCAAATACTACAATCTTTAATATAAGGTCAAATGTCTACCCTTCCTTCATAAATTAATAAAACTGAGACATTATCCTAGAATGCTTGCATTCTATTAATCTCTGGATATAAAAAATGGATGGCAGAAGAGGTACTGCAGGGCTAAAGGACCACTTAGTATCGCCATCAGGATGAGAGCCAAGGACACAGAGGAAAGGAAACTTAATCTGTGATCTAGATTCTCTCATCAGGTGCTTCTGTGTCTCTTACCTGCAGTACCTCATTGTTGACCACTGACCCTGACTCCAGATCTTATATGAGCTCTCACCAGTTGGCTCTACTGGGCCCCTGGCTCTACTGGAACCCACTCATCCTCCACCAATTTATCAGATCTTCCTCTCTTCTTCCAACATTTGCAGCTCTCTCAGCTCCTTGCTGTTTAGGATGCTGCTGAGGTGATTAAATTTTGTATCTTTTGCCTCTCAGTCTTTATCAGATACTGCAATGATGGGCAAGAGAGGTAGATAGTCTATAAGACTGAGGGCCTATTTTGAAAGGGATTCGAAGCCAGAAAAAAGAATGATTTTTCAGAGAGTTTGAACCCAAAAGGAGTAGATGGAAGGAACTCTTAGGAAAGGTGTTTTCTACTATTTTTCCTGTGCCTCTTACCAAAACAGTGGCCTCCATCTATCTTCTATAAACCAACCCTGAGGCAAAATGTGACACCTAGGTGAGGCTTAGCTTGCAGGAAAAGGTATGGACACTCCTATTAACCACATTCCCAAATTTAAGCCTTAAGAAAACTTCAGTCCTGTGCCCCAGTGTCTTCCACCAGAGGGGTCAGAGTATCACTGATGACAAAAAATAGCACAATATTCAATAGTCATCTTCACCGTAGCTTCTGGGTTATGTTCATTTGTGACATGCCAACTCTCCAACCACAAGCCCCAACAGAGAAGGGATGAGGAAGACTAACACATGACTTCAAGATTCATTAGCTCTCAGGTAAGAAAAAGCAAGAGGCCTCCCTGTGATTAGGACTAAAGCTTTGGCCCAAATTTGTTTTTCAAAACTCCCTTGGGAAGAGACAGAGCTCCCCCGACCCCCTCCTGTCTTCCAAGATGCTCTTTCTTCTCAGCTGTTAGTTTGTAAGTCTCAGCTTTCTGCTGCTCTCTCCTCAGTCTGTCAAGAGTTGCATGTAGCTTTTTTTGTGAGAGTGTAATCAGAACAGACTCAAGCTATGAGCCTTATCACACCTGAAAACAGGAAAATCAGGCCAATAAGCAGGTTGATTTTAGAAAAGACAAGCTTTATGAAATCATGAAGCTAGTGATGAGTATCTGAGGAGGTGAATATAATCTTTATTACTCAGTGATGGAAATGACCATATCGTCACCCAAAAAGAGCCAATTTCTTTCCCTAGAAGAAGATTCAATCCTGCAATAAGGAAAATTCTTTCCTCTCGTTAGCACTACCATACCCAATCTGTAATGTTCTCAGAAACGCTAATGCTCACAGGAGCAATCAAAGCTTATCACCAGAAACAATTCTACATCCACAAAACATGAGGGAAAAACAAAACAACAGTCTTTGTATTCTTGGTTAAGAGTCTGTATTCTATTCTATTCTATTATCCTTTACGTAAATTTAAGGAATGCACAGAATTTGTCTTCAGGCTTTGAAAGCTGAGCATAGGATATGGAAGTGCATAGGGTATGGAATGGGTACCCTATGTGGTGGCAAGGAGATTAAAATAGGTTGCAAAGGTGAGATTTCCTATTGAGCACTGTCTTCATCCTGGGACCTACCTGACATTCCTTGACTACCTTCTCCATGAGGAATGTGACCACAGTGTTCTGAGACTATACCCAAAGTCAGCAAATAGCATTTCTGTCTTCCTGACAGAAAAGCAGGAGTTTCTTTCCACAGTGCACACCTTCCTGGGTCTCTCTATTATGTTGGTCAGATGTTGATTAGACCATGAATTCTGATCTCACAAACAAGACAGATGCTTCCCTCCTGGGCCAATTGCTGCCTCCTTGTTGTTTGCAGTGATGCAGGCTTAGACTCAGGGGTTTTGTTAAGATCCCCTGGTAGATGGGCCAGTCACCTCCTCCTCAAGGTTCACCAGGATTTTTGAATCCATTGCACTGCTTCCCTGGATTTTTCCTGACCTAAGTTTGAAGCTCATCTTGCTCAAAGACTCCTAGATGGCAGGGTAAGTATGGCGCAAATAAACAGGATTGTGATTGTGTAAAACTCAAGAAGTTTGAAACTATAAGAGAATAAATTTCTTTTAAAGTCATCTAGTTTACAGTAATTTATGACAGCTCCAGGAAACCAGTATCAAGCTTGCAAAGGTTTGATGGTTAAAGAAAGATGTCTGATATATGCCAACCTATAAATCTTCTCCATGGTCTACAAACGAAAGGGCCGAAGCATGATGAGATGTATACAGAGATCAATGTAGACCTAAAAAAACTTCCTACTTCCCCATCATCCATGAAGGGAGCCTGATGAGGAACAACACTGACAGTGGATTGGTAACTGGAATCCAGCCAACGGCATAGATACCAAGGATTTATGTTGTTGTCAAGTGCTGTCGAGTCTGTTCTGGCTCATAGCGATGTGGTATACATTTTCCAAGGAGTGACAGGTGAGTTTAAACCACTGACCTTGTGGTTCAAACTGACTATGTTCTGATGCTTATCCTACAGCACCACACCAGGCCTTCTATGCTATAATGTCCACTCCTGTTAATGACTGAAGCTGCGAGCCACCCAGGGGTATGGGATTCAGGAGCCAACTAAAACTGAGTTGATGTTGTAAAGTGCCGGGGAGTCAATCTGACCCATAGCCACCCTGTATAGGGTTTCTGAGGAGCAGCTGGTGAGCTTGAACCTTTGACCTTGCAGTTCAAGCAGCTTTGCAGTTTAGTACATCACACATCAGGACTCCCAGAAATGTATAGAGGACAGAACAAAACACAGCCATGGGGCTGTGGATCTAAATGGAGTTGATGTCTAAGTAGCTGCTTCCATAATGACCACAGAAGGAAGAATGTGCTAGAAAGCCAGAGCCTGTCACATAGGGAGTGGCCCCACCACTGCACTCAAGGGCCATGCTAACAAAACCATTATTTTATTTTGTAGTTGTTATTGAGAATATACTCAGCAAAACATACAGTGATTCAACACTTTTTCCACTAGCAGTCAGTGACATTAGTTACATTCTTCATGTTGGGCAACCATTCTCACCCTCCTTTTGCTAATTATTCCTCCTCCATTAACTAAACTCTCGGCCCCCTAAGTTTCCTATCTTAACTTTTGAGTTACTGTTATCAGGCATTCTTTACTAGTTAAGGTAAACTAGCTCTGGTAGTGTAGTGGTTACAAGTTGGGCTGCAAACCTCAAGGTCAGCAGTTTGAAACTACCAGCATGTTCCATGGGAGAAAGATGAGGCTTTCTGCTCCCGTAAAGATTTACACCCTCTGAAACCCTGTACAGGGTCGCTATGAGTCGGAATCGACTCCACAGGCACCTAAGCAAGTAGTACTCTTTGGTTTTGAGAAGACTAAGTTTAAAGAAAAAGGATATTTCGGGGTAGTAATTTTGAAGGGTTCATCTAGCTTCTATGACTCCAGAAAGTCTGGATTTCACGAGAATTTAAAATTGTTCTGCATTCTTCTCATGTTAATAAAGTTTTATCACAACACAATAACCTTTTTTTTTTTACCCATTAGTATTTGTTACCTTCTTATAAATGGTATCAGTTATGGTTTTATTTTTAAATCTTTCCCTTATTAGAATATAAGCTCTTATACGTATTTGATGAGCATGGTAGCTCTGTAGGATAAGCACAGGACTGTGAACCCCAAGTTTGGCAATTTGAGCCCACCAGCCACACTGGAGAAAGATGAGGCTTTTTGTGCCAGCAAAGATTTACAGTCTCAAATATGCTATACAGGGTCGCTATGGATTGGAACCAACTTGATGGCACTTAACAACAATATATTTGATATTTATTATATATTGAATGAAGCCCTGGTGTGGCCCTGTGGATTAATGCGCTGGACTGCAAGTCAGTTTGAACACCAAGGTCAGCAGTTCAAGCTCACAAGTTGCTTCTCAGAGTTCCTATACAGAGTGGCTATGGTCAGAACCAACTCAACAACACTTAACAACAATATACTGAATGGAAGTACATGATACTTCTCACATTAGAAGTTTGCTTTAGTTTCCACAAATTAAATCCAGAAAGTGTATGAATCAATTTCATTCTATGTTTGAGCCTGGGACAGACTCTAAGGAGACAATATCTGGACAAAATGGATTCTTTACAAGAGTGAGGCAAGACTGACAGGAAGGCAATTACAGTGGCATCTGAAAAATGGGATTATAGGACAGAACTGCCACATGTAAGAATATATGTAACATATCAAACAAGGTAAAAATTGCTCACAAAGTGAGCTTAAGATGGGGCATAGCAGCATCAACTGATGGAGCAAATTTCTTTACAAGACCATTGAAACCTTAGGACTCATTCTGAGAAATTCAGAAATCCCTGAAAACAAGCATTGAGCAAGGGAAAACAGTAAGGAACTGAGGAAACATACAAAAGAAAATTGTGTCTAAAAGGCAAAATAATGAAGAACAAGTTCTAAAGTATGTGAGGACACCACTGTTTTCTGTGCTACTGTAGAATTGTTGCTGTTGTTAAGTGCCATCGAGTCAGTTCCACCCATAGTGACCCAGTATAGGGCTTTTGAAGAGCAGCTGGTGAGCTTGAATCACTGACTTTCGGATCAAACAGACTTTGTAGTCCAATGCATTAACCCACAGCATCACACCAAGGAGGATTTAAGGGAAGTGTGTATAGCCCACCTAGCGGTAGCTCTCTAAACCAAGGAAGACTTTGGAGAGAGCTACAAGGAAGACCTTGCTAGCCATCAGCAATGGGCCAAGACCACATGGACCTGTATAGTAGAAAAACAAGTTAGTTAAGAAAATTACTCTGAAGTATGTGACTATTGTAGTATGTAGTTCTTAATCCATATCTTTATAATTATCCTAGAAATTGTGTTCCCTACCTAAGAAACCAATCTTTACACATACTGATTTCCAACATAATATTCTCATGGAATGATGTCAATAGTATTGTGATTTAGCTAAAGGTCTTGCGAATCATTTAACTAAAAATGTATGATCTGTTCTTTGCACCTTCTCATAGAAATGGTATATAAGTTTGTAATATAGAATAATAAAGCACCCTCGACTAACCAACTTGAGTCTTCTGTCACTTTAATCCTCGGTCCGCCTCCTGGAACCCCTTCGTGTAGGGCTGGCCCCTGCAACACTGGAGTAAACAAGTCTATTTTAGGACGTGCAAGTAGATTCCTGAGACTAGGCCTCCCAAAGAACATGGGACAAAACGGGGGGTAGGGGTGGGGGTGGCAGCTCAGAGGCAGGAAGTAATCACATCATTCAATCTCATGTCCTCAGGGAGGTCAAGCACTGAAAACATATTAGAGCAGCCACAGGTTGCTTACCAGAATGATAGTGAACAAACTAGTTTCCAAATTGTTTCTATCCATGTTTCCAAGACTTCATTCTATCTGGTGCCCTATATTAGGAATCTGGCCTATGAACACAGTGGCCTATGGACACAGTGGCCTATGCCAATAGCTCTTTTCTGTGAGGAGAAAACGAGGAAGAAAACAAGGTGTTACTCTTAAAAAGAAGAAAAAAAAAGTGCTTTGTCTTCCTATCAACAAAGCAGCAGCAATAGGTTTAAGCATAGCAATTGTGAGGTTGGCACAGGACCGGGCAGTGTTTCAGTTTATTGTGTGTAAGGTCATTATGAGTTGGCACCCACTCAGTGGCACCTAAAACAACAGCTGTCAGCAAGACAGAAAATAAAAACTATACAACAGGAGGGGCATGGGCTTAGATTTAGCCTGGAAAAATAATGGTCACTCTAGGAAATACACAAGTTCTTCATTTCTTCAAATTTTCCCTTTGTAGGAGCCCTTCTCCAGGCTGGGGCTTTCTTCCATCTGCACTCACAGTATGAAGTCCGCAGCCTCTGGAGTACAAATGGTGCTGTGGGATAAAGCACTGGACAGTAAAGTCCATTTGCACTGAATGTTGAAGGTTCAAACTCACCAGCTGCTCCTTGGAAACCCTATACAGGGTTGCTGAATCAGAACAGACTAGAAGGCACTTAACAACAAAAAATTTGTTCAGTACTTTCTTCTGGAGTCTCATCCCCATCTCCCCCACTTTACACCTCCCAAGTACCTTAGGTCTGGGTGAGATGTTCTAAGTGTGGAAGTGTTGAAGGCAGGCCAGGAGCATGTGTGGTCCTGATTCACTTACCAAACCAGCAGCCTGGTTCCCATGTAATAGTTCCTCTGGAAGAGTTCAGTGAGAAAGGGAAGTCAATTTCATGGTATTGACAGAAAGGTGGAGCTTCTAGGCCAAATCAGCAGCATAGCAATGCCTTAGCTCAGTCAGCGGTGCCAAAGAGAGAAAGGGCATGAGGGGACATTTGTTAATGTCTGAGAGCATTTTTGGTTGTTATAACTTGAGAATTACTGCTGGTATTTACTGGACATTGAACAGGGATGCTGCTAAACATTTTACAATGCACAGGACATCCTTACAACAAGGAATTGTTATTGTTGTTGGTAAGTCCCATTGAGCCAGTTCCAACCTATAGCGACCCTCTTTAGGGTTTCCGAGGAGTGGCTGGTGAGTTTGAACCACCGACCTTGCAGGTTCAAACTGCCTTAACATTTGAATTCTAAGGTTGAAAAACCCTATTATTACCTTTTCTGCTTTTTAGGACAGTTAAGGTTGG